GAAAAAACAAAAAATTTTATTTTTTAAATTCAGTAGAGATCATTTTTTCCCCAAATTGTTTCCTATTTAAAAAAAAATTTTTTTAAAGTTTATTTATTTTGAGAGGGATAGTGTATGCATGCAAGTGGGAGAGGGGCAGGGGAGGGGCAGAGGGAGAGGGACGAAGAATCCCAGGGAGCCTCCACACTACCGGTGCAAAGCCTGACACAGGGCTCCATCTCATGACTTCAAGACCATGACCTGAGCCGACCTCAGGAGTCGGATGCTTAACTGACTGAGCCACCCAGGCGCCTTTGTCTTGCTTTTTGATGTTTTACTTCACAGGTTTCCAAAAACTACACACCATATCAACTAAATTTCCAAGCTATCTTTAATATCCCATAGGAGGCCAGTTGTGATTATACCTACTTTTTCTAGCTACAGATGACAGTGTAACAGTTGTATTTGCTAAGTCAGATATTCTGGATTAGAATCCCTTTGTGACCTTGGGCAAGTTCTTTTAACTTTTTCTATTCATCTGTGAACTGGGCTGGTACTGACTGCCTCACAGTTGTGCAGATTGGGTGTAAGGACTTTGGAGCCAAGCCACAAGGGTTCTTGCACCCTGATGCCATTACTTAGTAGTTTGGAAACTGTACCTCAGTTTTTTCACCTGGGAAATGGAGACTTTCAGAGTTTCTGTGCAGCTCTTTTAAGGCATGTGTGGACATGTCACACAGTACAGGGGCACGTGTGTGCTGTGACCTTTCTCCTTGATGGCACATGCTTGTTTCTGGCCACTGTCATTTCTCCCGGGGTGGGAGCAGCACCAGACGGTCCTGCGTGTGGAGGAATAGCCTTCAGCAGCATTGAGACTTGTGTGCCAATTGTACACCAGCCCTGTGCTCAGGTACCCTCAGTAGTTCATATTTCCTCGTACCATTCCTAAGCCACAGAGGTTGGGTCACGTTCTGGTCAATGGTGGGCTGTGATTAGGACTTAATTTTTAGACTTGGGTACCTTTTTTTTTGTTTTTTTAAGAAAAATTATTTAAACCTCCTCTTTGATATATTTTAGGAATCAATCTGAATTTGACAAGCACTTTGAAGAGAAGAAGCAGTAGAACAAAGCATCGTCTTTTAAAGAATGTGGCAGTTAAAGGATGTCCCTGTGGTCTGCCTATTTTGGGTTGTGAGGTTTCCTATTTAGTTTTTAGCTTATCAGATGTGTGAGTCTGTAGCTAATTGAGGTTCTGCTGAAGCTGCAGTTGGTTGCTTTAATTGGTAAGGCCTTGGCAGGGTTATTAGATGTCTCTTGCCCATTTGACCCCTGATGTGTAGATTCGTGGGTCTGTTTCAGGGGAGCTTGCTCTTTTTGGGTATATAACGGAGGGACACTACACCACAGACTTGACACCTCTATGTGGGTGAACCTGGGGCGATTCAGGATGGTCTACTGGGATCCATTATCCCATGTGAGCACAGGTGGCATGGGACTTGTATCAGATTGCTGGCACTTTGATCCTGGTAAGTTACCACCCTGTCAGCAGAGTTGGTCAACTCTACATCTTTCCAGGAAGTACACTGCATGCAGACACATGATGATCATTTGGTTTCCTGATTGTTAGATTGAAATGTAGCGAAACATCAGGGAATATTTGGATGGCCAACAACACGAAAGAGATCCTGAATTCCAAAATCATGGAGTGAAATTGGGAATTGGCCTCAGTGGATGATTAGGCTTTAACCTTTCTTCAGCACCTGGGGGGGCTTGGCATCGTCACAGAGCTTCTTCTCTGTCTTGACCTACTTCCAAGTAAGCATTTGTTTGAAAAGAGTATTTAAGATTTCTAGAGGAGACAGTAACCCTCTCCAGTGTCCCTATTATCCATTCCACTGTGGCACTGATCCTTGTAGAGTGGTTTCTTGACAGCTGACCTCTCCCCTGGCCATCTTTGGGCAGAGGGACATAGATTCTCACCACTTGGTCTGTTGGCCTTCCATCTGCTTTCTAGGAACTCTACCCAGAGTTTGTTCTCCTGTATTTTTTGGCGATAGTTCACATGGTCTAGTCATGTCATCCTGTTCTAAATTCTGTTGCTGTCGTATTTAACACAATGCCGACATTTGCAAGTTGACTTGTGGGTGCGAGTTAGGAGGTGCTAATCACTGGTCATAGCCTGACACATCTGTTTGTGTGTTTATCTGAAGTTACGCTGGAGCCTTTGACTGGTCATGACAGATTAACTGCCTAAAACCTACGAAGCAGCTTATTAATTAGTGTATTTTAGTGTTTCCCACAAACTCTTCAGAGTGAGCAATTAGATATCTAGAGTTTCTTTTCCTTTATCTCTTTGGGTAAGTAGTAACCAGTTTTCCTGCTACTTTAGACCGTAGGCAATAACTAACCATACTCACAGCTCTCAGTAATATTTGTTCTATTGTTTTGTTTTGAGGTGGAAGGGGGAACTCTACCCTCAGAACATGAGGGAATAATATTTACGTGGCTCACACAGACCAGTGAGTACATCATCTGCATCCCCCACAGCTCACCAGCAGAGGGCCTCTGTTACTAGTCTCAGTCCACCCTTCCTGCCCCTCAGAGAACGCTGTTAATTATGGCCAAGTGTTTTAATTAAAAAAATTCCTGGAAATGTTATTGAGGGATGGGGGTCCTTTTACAAATTTTAGAAATAAACAGATGAGAAGACTATGCTTCTGAGTCTTGGTTTAACAAAGCCCCTTGGTTTAATGTGATTATGGACATGCTGGCTATAGTGTAGTTTAAGATCTTCCCGCTGAACTTACAGGCTTTTAAGAAACCAACCCAGGAGTGTATGTCCTATTGAATAAATGGGTTCCAAGGCACTACATGTAACTGATCATAGCTCACTGCTTCTCCTGAGCTAGGCAATGGATCACTTGGAGTCCTTTATTGCCGAGTGTGATCGGAGAACTGAGCTTGCCAAGAAGCGACTGGCAGAGACGCAGGAGGAGATCAGTGCAGAAGTTTCTGCG